AACCTATTTTACTTGTCAGATTTCTTCGAGCTAGTTGATTTTTGTTCTAACTGTTCTATCCCCCCACCCACTTTAAAAAAAAAAAACGATGCTACCTACCTGAATTAATATTTCTTAATGGTGTTCATCGAAATGCATGGTTATGCCCTTAAACTGGAATAGTTTTTAGAGGCCTCGAATTCCTTGACCAATTTTATTTTATTAGCCCAACTATATTTCTATGAAGGCAAGATGTATGGTATGTAAGTTTCATCTACATATGTTATGTAGTTCATATTAAAAACTAAAAGGGATAATTGACGATATCCCATTCAGGGTGTAAACATAGCATTTCAAATTACTTTCCATACATTGTATTTGACATAAAATATCTTTTGCGCATAATGCGCTCCATACTGAAGATCCATTAATGTTCACCCAACCGAAAATGTCCACTAGCAGTACAGCACGGGGAAACTCTAAACAAACGGACCTGTTCAATGGAGTGGGGAAAACTTTAATTTTCATCATTGTTAATCATTTGTATGCAAATATGAGCATGGGATTAGTAGATAATAATGTACATAATGCATCAAGTCTTTCTGAGAGCGATTTAAAAAACTAGCCTTTTTGAAAAACACATGTAGTATTTTTAAACAATAAAATGCTTTCTTTGTTTGTTGTTACTGGAATGAACGGAAGCAGCTGTTGCAGAAAAAATACATAATTTTTTTTCTGCAATAGCTGCGACCGTTCATTCCAGTAACAACATTCAAAGAAAGACATTTTATTGTTTATATTTATATCTGTTTAAATTTTCATTTTAAGTAGGATTAAAAATATTAATTATTGTGTTAATGATGCGAACGTCTTTGTACGTTTCATTGATGGAACAGCCACTGATCAATAAATCTGTACAGGTGATATGCCTAATGTAGTTTATGCAGGAATGAACGCAATGGGTTTTCTTAAGAAATAAAGAAAAAAATATTCAGTGGATGTAAATATTATGTAGTAACCCATAAATACATTAAATGCAACTCATTGAGCTGATTGGTCTATTTGTGTTCCTCACTGAACAGACGTCACAAAAAATATTTTCCTCGACCTGATGATTCTCGTGATGCTTTTCCCGCGCACATGCGCAGTTCCAGGATAAACGTCAGTCCTTTATAAATATGCATGAGAATATCGTGTTCATTTCCTGACCAGTTCTTTGTTAATACCGAATAAAATTTCGTCGAATTTGCAAGAATGTTTCATTTTTGGTAGCTTATCATACTCCATAAAATTTTGTTCGGTTTCAGCTGTGCAAAAATACTGTTTAACACGGCATACATATCTTTAAACTTTCCAGGCCTTGCTACATTTTTTCCCCACTGTATTTTTTTGTCGCTTTTCTGAATTTTTGAATATATTTTTTTCACATTTCGGTACATACAGAAAATACAACCATCGTCATGTATTATCAGAGACGAACCTTGTCTTTGAAGACAGATTTAATCACAATGTTCATCAAATTTTTATTTGATATTAGAAAGCCATACCCACTCCTGCTGACTAGGGACTTGTCATCTTAACACAATCATTTTTTCAAAAATGTAGATATTACGATTCTTGTTAAATGGGTATTCATAGGCGTCGGAACCAGGGGGGGGGGGGAAGCCCCCCCCCCCCACTTTTCTTGCAAATTTATACATAAAATATAGGCATTGAAAATAAGGGTTCACTTTTTTTGTTGGTTTAGCCCCCCCTCCCCCCACTTTCAATTTGCTTCCGACGCCTATGGTATTCATTAGTTCAGTAACTTTAATATCTTCACCATACCATTTCCCCCCAGTAAATCAAGATATTTCATATAACCCCGTGCTAACCTGAATCAGTTGGGAGTCCATTCTGATGAAACCGCGTGTGTTCGACATTGATTGCGTGCTCGATATGTACAACGAGCGGTCTAGTTAGCCTTATATATGACACAGCCGTGGGAGGAGTTTATTTTTAATCCATGCATTTGATTGGCTGAGGTTCTGTTCTAAGTCAGTAAGATCATATGAAGAGAAATCTTCGTCACGAAGAATGGGCTCCGCGAACACGAAGAATGGGCTCCGCTTCGCTCCGCCCATTCTTCATGACGAAGATTTCTCTTCATATGATCTTACTATTACATAAGTCCCAAGCCGTTTATTTTTAGATGCATAAAATCCCAGGTTTTATTTTTAGAGACAGCTAATTTAACTTACGGAAACTTAAAATTGATATGAACTCTTAAAGAATTGCGACATTTTCACATTGTACAAGTTGCTGTCTCTGAAATTCTTCATTCCCTTTTTTCCGTACATGTAACAAAAATATATAACTGCACGAGAATATTGAAAAAACATGTGTATATACGTAACACACCCACAAGCTTTTGAATAATATTTCCATAAAGTGAATTTTTGTATTATTATTTTTTTAACACGGAAACGCCTTTGCATTTAAACACATCTATTTGTGTAATTTTCTCTACGTTCTGTATTTGTAACAATGTTTAAGAGCAATAAATGGTATGTGATTAAACAACTGCATGCACAAATAGTGTGCCAAAACATACCTGAATTAACGGGATTTTAGGAAGTGAGATATTTATGTCAAAAGAATTTTTCTCACTAACAAAAACATTACTTATCTATTTAATAATAAAATCAATTTAATAATATATAATAATTTATATAAAAATACTATAACATTAAACCATTAGATGTACATAACATAATAAGTTAAGAAACAAAATTATGTATAAGTTTTCTTCTTTTTTTGAGTCACATGATCATTTTTCATTTCAGGGAGATTGAAATCCCACCCATAGAATGTACAGAGGTATTTAAAAAGGACTATATGCTAATTTTCAGACGCAACAAAAAAAAGGGACTTGGACGCACGTTCCCTATCTGAAAACATGAACCCCACCATGAATTAAGGTCTTGATGGGAGTAAAATCTCAAGCGATGTACCACAATGAAAAGTGTTTTAAACAAGAACGGTTTTCAGATATAGAAATCGGATTTTCCAAGCTCTTTATGCCTGAAAATGTGACATTGTCACTTGAAAATTACATGAAATGTACAGTAGCTACAATATTAAAAAACAGACACACCAAAGTCATTCGAACAAATCATAGTGTATTGATGAAGAAAAGAAATGATTTTGCAATAATGCATGGACAATTGTTTCTGATTAAGATTCTTGAATCATTGAGTCTTGGAATTATGCATCAATCGTTACAAGAAAACAAAAATGAAAAGTACTTCAGAGGAAATACATATATCAAATCTTTTGATTGGAAACAAGAGCAAGACCTCTGTTTCAATGTAAAAGAAACAATGTGGATTTATTTTCTTCTGGTAGGGTTTTTCCTAAATACTGATGAATACAATACTATGCTTCAGAGACTTAGTTCATCGCTGCTACCAAGAACACTTCCAAATTATGAAATGCGGTTAAAAATAGAGAAGGAGCTGTTGACTTTTATTTTGTATCCTATAAATTGTGTGCTTTCCTTGAAGCAGGAAGACAAAACTAATTATGACGCTCACTGCCAAAATATTGAAATTTGTTTTCAACAGAATACATTGATTATGAATACTGTATGCATGGTGCTACAGCAAATTGATGCTAATAGAGCTTCTTTACTACAAGCTAAACTAGTTTCATTTTCTGTATTGTCAGGAAACAGAAAAAAATCACTCACAACTATTAGGGGTGCAAGATCAAACGATTTAATGTGTCGAGATTATATTCCTGAAATGGTAAACTTATGTAGTCGAAAGAACAATGCAATGAAGCATATAAGCACGTTTTCAAAACAATTTTTATTTGACGGTAAGGGCCTACAAGCACATAAAATAAGAAGGAAAGGCAAGAATTTGAAAGATCCAAATGGATTCGTACTTACAAAAAGGGTTTTTAGTTGTTCTACTACTTCGGAAAGATCAATAAAAAACCGTGAAATAGAGAGGAAAGGAAGTTATCGTGATTTCGTTAAAATTAATAAATTACGGCGTCATGATGAATATCAGAAAGAGAATCTTCCAATTTTTGTGAATACTATTGTGGCTCATTTTGATGATAAGAATCCATTAAAATGTGCAAATCGGCGACTTTCTTCTACAGGATTTAAACTCAATGCACTAGATCCTGAGAAGCTGACTCTACTTGCAGGTCTTCAAAAAGCAACACTAAAAAGTAAAACAAATATAAGGCAAACCGCATTGAACTATCAATATGACTTAAGTGCAGAAAAATCTCATCTAACAAAACATCTATTGATAAATTTTTTCAAAAGGCATAAGTCAACACGGGAGAAAAAATCTAAGTGGACTCTGAAAGGTTTGTCATTTCATTTGGATCCTCGAAACATGCTTTCAGGGCGTTTTGATTGCCATCCTATTTCACTATCTCCTCGTTCAGACCTGGACGTGTCTTTTTTTGACCAGACAATATCAAATGCTGAGGAAATACAATCAAGATTGAATTTAGAGTTTGTTAGAATTAAGAGGTCGTCCACTGAATATCAGGCAAAATAAAAAAAACTGGCACATGCTTATCCAGCAAAGTCACAAAGTATGTTTGAATTATATTTCATTTACAGCCCAAATAATAATTTTGTTGAACAAAATTCAAAGTATTGTAAATTAATTTTTTTACAGACCAATTAATGTTACCGAGTCAACGAGTATATTTACTATATATTTCATTGGAATCAACAAGCGAGTTAAAATCGTTTAAAACCTAATACTTGTGCTTGATAAGAAAACTTTGTTTTTCAAAAAATAAAAGAATATGTAGGCTAAACGAATCAATCCAAAAATTGGCGGGCACTGTCTTTGTTCCAAATAAATATGTAATCAAATAATACCTAGTTTGATGTGGAAAATGATGCAAGAGTTACCTCTCTTTGCAATTTCCTCACAGCATTTATTTATTTTTTAATTTATATTCGATGAAGAAATTATATTATACGATAAATGAATGAAACTAAATTTTTAACTGATGAAAAAACAGTTAAAGATACTTTAAAAATTATTTCAATATATATGGTGTCATTTAGCCCGGTCCTACAATTCAGTGAAAAAGATGGCAGACGAATTGTTTTGCCATTATCCACCAGAGTTAAAATGCAGATTTACTGACCATGGTCAGTGTTCCGGTGATCTCGTGAACCTTATACAGTGTGTAAAGAGTACAGGTGCCCATCTCAGGTACTTAAAAACTAAAGGGAACGTATCTGAAATAGACCTCATTCTCAATAGAGGTGGGTTATATGACGTCAGTGACTATAGCAAGCAGCTAATTTTAGTTTGTAAAGAGCACCGTGATTCGTTGGGCCTGTATTGGAGGAAAAAGACCAAATGCGATTATCCTCTGCACAGTGGAGTTGGGAACGTAGCGGACAGAGCAGTGAACAAGAATTGTTCAAGTGAAATATTCTACATGTTCAACTGTCTTGTTCCCATTGGTTCAGGTATATATCATGGTTTGTTATTGTGCATGTAATGATGTATACAAGCATAAAACAAAACTGTTGTGTACCTTTAAAGTGATCAAGGTGATGCATATACAATACACAAATCAATGAATTTTATCAGGCCCCTATTAAATTTATAATTATGGTGAAGTTTGATTTTGAACTAAAAAAAACACTCTTTATATTTTTGTAAAATATAAAATTGATTTTAAATAGTACCCAATAAACGAACAACTCTATCTTTTGAAGTAAAATTTAAGTTTTAAACTCTGATATACTCTTCAGTCTTTTAGGGACTAATTTAATGTTATGTTATTACATAAAAATATTAACAAAGACTTAGTGATATACAAGTATATTTATCAATTATTTTCTTTAAAAGCCATTTGCAAGAAGTGCAGAGTTGTTCACACTAAGATGATTGCACTCTTAAACAGAAGCAATGTGAGTTGTTTTGGGAACAATGCAGACACTGAAAATGGATGCAATTCAGGTATTTTTTATGTTGACGCCTTTAAAGCTGTGTACGTGACACTTGGGGATCACTTTACCTCATGTCTGTCTGTATGTTTAATTTGTCATACATTGTATCTCAAGACTGTTATATAGAGGTGTCCACAAAGTATTTGTTCAGGCACTATGGCTTTTGAAAAATATTAAGATTGCTGATTTTGTGACCCTGAACTTGACTTCTGAGTCACTGACCATGCCAGTGATGTAGGCTACAGGCAGCATATGTAGAACATCACACTGCTGTTTTGATCTCGGCCCAGGTATCAGTACGAGCAGATAATGTCGCCCAAGCTCTAAGGGCATGGGCCAACCATCTGACAGCTAATACCAGGGACAAGATCAAAATAGTGGTGGGATGTTCAAGTACAAGTACTTTCATTTGGCGCACTTTTTAAAAATAATTTTCTCAATATTCTTCTTTAGATAAATATTTTTTTAAACATGTTAAATATACTGGTAAAATTTTAAAAATTAAACAAAATTAATATTTCTCTCTAATAATTAACTAAAGATTTTACTCATTTCACACAAATTAAACAGAAATATAATATGAAAATTAAGGGCGAGACAAGCCTAGCTTTGACAATGGGCTGAGGCATAGATATCTCAGACCTGAGAGTGAGACAGTCGTAGTTCCAGGGTGCTGTCTCATGAAGTCAGACATCTATAGTCCAAAACATCTGTATAAGGGCTGATACACTACTAGGTACATAGTACATACTTAGACTTTTGAGAGGTATTGAGCCTGTACTATTTAGCATGCATATCAGCATATGAACACTGTTTGTAAAAGTATATTTTGAAAAATATCAGTGTAATAGTCCACTTGACTGAAACATATTTTTCAAAATTTAATTAATTTTGTCTTTCAAATTTTTATAAATAAATTGGATTTGATAACTATCGTATAAACACGCATATAACCTCATGACATTGTGCTTAAAAAAAGTATACATATATAATATGATAATATTTAGATTAGCTGACTATTATATATAGTTGTATTATATAAATAAAAACAAAGACAGAATGAAATAAAATCTCTTTCTATTATGATCATAATTCAGTATTTACCCTAAGAGCCAGCTAACAGCTAAATTCAGTGCTTGAATTGAAGAAAATGCTACTTTTGATATAAAAAATTGTTGTGAAATCCACAGATATTCTGTTCATAAACTCAGTCCCTAGCCTGTTACTGCTGATATCTATAACCCTTTACTTTGAAATAAAGAGAAAACACTGTAAATTATAAAAATAATTCATAATAAATACATGTATCAATATTTCTGATAATCTCAATTTCATTATTGATTATTCATTGTGAGTTGAGGAATCCTATATAGTTTTTGTCGTGTCCGTCTGTCTGTTTGTCCGCAAAATAATTTTTATTGAGTGTCACCTTTTATGATGATTTTTCATCAATGCGCTACGCGCATTGATGACGTTTTCCGTCCAAATTTTTTCTTTGATACATCGATCAAAGAAAAAAATATTACATTCATTTCTTATCATTTAATTATGATTTTAAAAATAATTATATAAAACTTTTCTTTCATTATGAATATTTAATTGACGCATGGAGTCATGCGTAGTAATACATCATAACAGAAAATTCAAAATGGCTGAATGTTTACGCATCAGAGTCACTGTGTAGGATTGAATGGGTTAGACGCAAAATGAAAAGTGCAGTTGTTGAATGCTGAATTAGAAATGAAAGAAGAGGTCAGACGATGACTCGAGGTATGCTGCATTGTGCTGGAGGAAACGTTGAGCACTGGATTTGTCGAGGAGGGAACGGTAACAGGTGGGAACGAGGTACACGGTGGGTACGTAATATCAGAAGAAGACGGTGGACACGACGAGACGCAGGAGGACGGGCGTGCAACTTTGGCAAGGGCAGAACTCAGATGGTGTTTTTGTGAAGTTGAACAGTCCCTGCTGTAGGATCTAACAGATGCCTCGTTACGATGGCCGCTCATGAACATTATGTGGCGGGTCTCAAATCCGTCATCATTCAAAGCTTGGATGGCGGTGCTCCGCAAACAGTGTGCCGTGTATTTCTTGGAACAACCTGCATTTCTGGAGATATCCGGCATAAATTTGGAAAATTGATATTGTTTGCAGGGCTTGGCCATGTACCAGATTGTTGTAGAATCAGGGGAGGAAAGAGCTTCCTTCGTACAGTGATTAAAAAGTGATTGAGCCTGGTGGTCCGTATGCTGTATAAATGTTTTGAGTGCAGCAACAGGACAGTGTTGATCGCCAGTTGCATACATACGTTTATCCTGGGGGGCCTCCTGGGTATCAAGTCCTCCCTGCCAATTCTTTTGTTTTGTTTCATGCGAAAGGGATACATATTCCATTCCATTGTCGTCTTTGAGGAATAGGAATGACTTTGGACTTAGCTGATGGTGGAATTCTAATCCCCTGGACACAAAATGAAGGGACAAATTAAACCAAACACGGTAGCGTAGAATAACAGGGTTTAAGCAGGAAGTAAGGTATGTAGAAATTTTGGATAGATCAGCTGGTGACACCACAGATTTGTGTTGGGTAGGTCTAGATAAACCGAGGGTCATGTTTTGTTTTAGTTTTCCTGTAAGGGCCCCATTTGCTTGTTTAAAAGCTTTGTCTCGAACAATGTCAAAATCTCTGCCAATGTCACTAAGGTGTCGGTTAATCGCAGATCTTATGCCTTTTAATGTGTTTTTGTGATATTCCTGGGGCTGCGAGACTTTATTTTCTGTTTCTGAATCCAGTTTTGGTTGGACCTCAGAGTAAAACCATCTTAAATGATTATTTAGTTCCTCTCTTGAAATTGAATGTAAATCCAGAGGAAAACCAAATTTCTCTAAGCTCCAATCTACAATTTAATTAGTCCTTTTAAATAAATTGTGTTTGACTGTTATTTTTTTCCTTTATTTTTTCAAATTACTTTCATTTGGTTCAAAGTCTATTTTTTATTAATTTTTCTGACTCTATATACTATTTTTTTGCTTTTTATCTATAATTACTTGTATTAAATTTTTTTTAGATATAATCTAAATTTATTTTTAATTATTATTGAACAGTTTGTAATGAATTTTATTATTTTTTTTTTTCCAATTTGTGTACATGTATTAATTAAATGCCTACCTTGCAAAATTTTCACACCCCATTTTGTTTTTGCTTTGGTTGCTGAAGAATGCTTTTTAGATTCAATTTCATCAAGCTCCTCAACTGTAAGGGATTTAAATCTTTGTTTTGGTTTTTCAGTGGAAGTGAGAGGTACCGGCAGTCTTTGATCTTCTTCAAAAGCCTTTTTCATTTCAGCCATGGCTTGACTGTTGCTTGTAGAGGCCGTAATTTCGTGAATCGTGTACTCAGCTGGAAGGTCCATTTCAGTATTTAGAAGGAAATCCAAAACTTCATCATCTATATCACCCTCTGTGTTCCCCAAAGCTAACATTTCTTCAACATTACCAAGATCAAAAGTCGCCGCTTGCTGACTCATTTTTACCGACGCAGACGATATCGTGAGAAAAGATGTATTTATATGTCATCAATATTTGTGTTCTTGTTTTCATTTTTATTTAACTTTTTATTTTATTTATTTGTCTTTTCAGTCTTGCAAGCAATAAAATTGAATAAAAACACGAACGAAAACAATGTGTACAGTTTTATTTGGAAATTCCCTTTCTATAATTAGACCTTAAAATAGAAAGGTGAAAGGTTGCATTCCAGAGAAAAGTAGTTCCGGCTCTTTAGTGCAAGCGCACGCCAGATTTTATTGATGCAGTTATCAAAAGGATTTTTAAACCAATCAGAATTGAGTATTTTATAGAAATTAAATGATTGTCATTTTATCACAGTCTTGATTACAATCATTGGACTGTTTCTTTTTACAGGTGAATATTAACTAATTTGCAAATAAATAGCTGATCACTCTTACTTTACTCAATTATCTTCAAATGTTACCATATTAGGTGACATATTTGTTTTTTTTTCATATAACACTCAAGTAATATACTAACGCCTAAACGGATGGTAGTACATTTAAAATTTTAATGAGTTATGTATCATTTAATTTCTATAAAATACTTGATTCTGATTGGATAAAAAATTGTTTGATAACTGCATCAATAAAATCTAGAGTTCGCTTGCACTAAGCAGCCGGAACTACTTTGGCTGTCTTTATATAGTCTTTATACATGTATATTTCCCGCTTCCAGATTACTTTTTGAAGGAATAATTAAATAGTTTTCCTTTAACTGATATTTTCCTGAATTTCGAAACCTGTCCATTACGTTTCTGAGTTATTACCTACTTTTGTATCTTTTTGACTCTGTAAAACAGGAGAAGTTGGCTATGAAAATCTAACTGATGAAAAGAATGACTCTCAGGCTGCTCTGCCCGTCACAAGTTCTGATTGTTACGGTGAGTATAAAATTCTTGAATATGTAGTTTGAAAAGAAAAGGTTCATTAAATGTTTTTATTCTAAATGTTTTTCTAGTGATTAAATTGAAAAATATATCAATATTTTAAAGACTGTAAATGAGTGGCATTTCTTTACAGACAAATTTGCAAATAAGTAGTTGACCAGTCTTAGTCACTCTTAGTTTACTGTAGAATCACATATTTGTGTATATAAATGCAACGAAATAGGGCAGCAAGAAATTCAAATATTGAGTATATTTTTGATAATTCAAGACATGGAAAATGTAAATATAAGGAATGCTTTTAAGTTTAGTGTGAATTATTGGTGTGTGAATCACATATATGCCTTGATCTATGACAAGTCTCATTCACACACCAATAACTCACACAAAACTTTAAAACATTCCTTCATTAATAAATAATATATGTAAATGCAGAAACTAAATATATTAAACATTGACTATAATTTTTGTAAAAAAAAAAGGAGAAGTTGGCTATGAAAATGTAACTGATGAAAAAAATGACTCTCGGACTGCTCTGATCACAAATCCTGAGTGTTACGGTGAGTATAAAATTCTTGTAAGAGTACCGGTAGTTTAAAAAAAAAATAGTTTTATGAATTTTCTTCCCAACCCCTCCTAGCTTAGATCAATGCATGCATGCTCTTTTTTTCCTAAAGTATGGGACACAGATTCTCTGAATTAGCTTTTCTTATTAGCCCTTTTCCAGCATTCATCCATCTAGGTGTCTGTCCTTATATGAACTTTTCACATTTTCAACTTCTTCAGAACCACTGGGTTTATTATTTATATAGGTCCCAGGGTACAGGGGATTCAAAAATATACAAGTAAAGACTTAAACCTTCTTCCAAGGGAAGATATTAAATGAAGAAAAAGCAATAAATAGGCTAAGGTCATTAAAAAGTCATTTTCTAAAGAATGACTTGGTCAGAAAAGATAAAACTTGTGTAAAAGCTTTCTATGATCATGATGATAATGTAGATTCTAAGTTGGCCAAATTACACCCCAAGCAGGGTAGTTATATTCATATTGAACATGTTGACATTTCCTATGTAGTTCAGATTCAGAGACCCCTTTAGGTGTTATATGGGGTCACATTTTTCATGGTACGGTAATTAATTTATAAAGGTGAAGAATCTTTAAAAAAAATAAATCAAAGAATAATAGCTGGGCTAAGGTTACTCAGGCCTTAAGACCCCTTGTTTATTTAGTTAGCTTATGCGATAGTAATGCGTCCGGCATCCCGTCCATCTGTCTGTCTGTAAACAATTTTTCAAAATGCTACTCCTCTTACAGCTTTGGTTTGATTTCAGTATTACTTGAAACTCAAGTAGACTACACAAGTAGACAGTATATCAACTTTTGATTTCGATGAACGGTGTTGCCCTGGTTACTAAAAATAGAAATTTCTGTGAAAAACATTCAAAATGCTACTTCTCCTACAGTTTGAGTCTTGATTTCAATATAACTTGACACACAAGTAGACTACATTAAGATACATAATTCTTTTTATTGGTTTTTGATTTCGTTGAATGGTGTTGCCATGGTTACTAAAAATAAGAAATTTCTATGAAATACTTAAAAAATGCAATTCCAAATACAGTTTCAGTCTGATTATAGTACATGTATTATGTGGCATGCAAGTAGTGTACACTGAGATACATGATCATTATTCTGTTTTTGCTGTTGTGAAGATACATGATCATTATTCTATTATTGCTGTTGTGAGGTTTCAAGTCCCTACTGCCACTTTTCTTTGTTTAAAGTACAAACTAGTAGAGCTACAGTCTCGACAGAGATTTCTGGTTTTTCTTTTCTTTTCACATTTTATGTAGTGTAGGGTTTCCTCGTGCAGTCATACTTTCTCTTCTGATTATTTCTTTTGTGTTTTAGATTTATTATCTTCACAAACAACTCAAGCAAGCATACCCAGCAGTCATGAGGAGTGGGAACCAGAGTCTTCTTCATTAGAGATAATAAATGAAGTTATAAGTCTTTTATCCAATGGGAGTCTTGATCCACTAAGGTAAAAAAAATGTCATATATGTACATATTGATCACTGTTTTTAACCTCACCTGAGCTGAAGGCTCCTGTGAGCTTTTCTGATCAAAATTTGTCTGTTGTCTGACGTAGTTGTTGTCATCATTGTCAGAAACTTTTTACAATTTCATCTTTTTCTCAAGAAACACTGGGCCAATTTCAACCAAACTTGCCACAAAGTATTCTTGGGTGAAGGGGATTCAAGTTTGTTCAAATGAAGGGTCGCGCCCTCTTCTAAGGAAAGATAATACTGTAAACCAACTTTTATTCGCGTGCGAGAAATTTTCGCGAGATTCGCGAGAGACTCGTCATCGCGAATATTTCTCGCCGCGAACCGGTCCTGAAAGTCTCTGTTGTATTAACAACATTTCCAAACAAGGTTTGATCGCGAAAATTAATCGTCGCGAACAAGTTTACGCCCGGTTAATCGCGAAATAAAGTCGTCGCGAATAAAAGTTGGTTTACAGTAATGAATTGTTGAAAAATTAATGGCAGCTTTTAAAAATCTTCTTTTCAAGAACCACTGGGCCATGAAAGATGAAACTCATGTAGAATTATCCTTAGGTAGTGTAGATTCAAATTTGTACAAATCTTGCCCCCCCCCCCCCCAGAGGTAGGGTGGGTCCATAACGGGGATGGGGTGGGTGTTCAAAGTTTAACGTAGGAATACATAGGGAAAATCTTAAACCACTGGACCATGAAAATTGAAACTCATGTGGAAGCCTCCTCTAGTAGAGTAGATTCAAGTTTGTAAAAATCATGCCCCAAGGGTTAGGGTGAGGCCAAAATCAGGTATCAAATTTTTACATAAGAATTCTTAGGAAAATCTTCTCAAAAACACCAAAAGCTGCAGTGATTGTTCATATTTATATGGAAGCATCGTCGGGTAGTGTAGATTAAAGTTCGTTCTAATCATGACCAACCAGGAGAACAGAGGAGCCGTAAAAGTGGATCATAGCTATAAAAAGGAATATAAACGCTTCATTGATAAAAAGGAATATAAAGGCTTCATCAATATGTATCACCCAGTGAGATTATTTAAGATTAATTGATTGTTTCTGTACCAAAAACAGGTACACTATTGATAATAGACTGAATCGTTCAAATCATGATCCCTTTGGAACCTGTTGCTAATACATGTATACCAAATTGTCTCTGTTTAATAGATAATGCCATTACAGCATAACTTGGTTATTATGTGATCACTGGGACCTATGAATATCCATGTTCATACTAAACAAGTTTTCTGTAGAATTATTTTTTAATCTCATCCTTCTCTCTTCTGAATATGGATATTATGGATTTATGACAAGAAAAACTGCATTTTGTATTTCAGTACAGTGTATTTCCATCCTATTTCAGATCACAACTATCAGTACCATTGACTGAATCTGCACCTAGAACACAGAGATATTATGAGCGGAGAGCCAAGGAGATAGTTTTACAGTTGTTAGAATTCATTGCTCCATCTCAGTCCCAACTACTGCTAGAAAAAATTACAGATAAATCAGATGTGCTAAATACCTCCTCTGATGACAGGCTTCTTCAGGCTTTTGTGAAGGCATATCAGGAGGCCTCACATTCCCCTTTGTTACAAAAGCAGATTTTGTCAGTAATTTCCAGTCACTTCCAGAAAAATACACTATTAGAATCCTTTCCGAATGTCACCAAGTACAAAATAGATGTAGCAAGAGATTACTCGAAGAAAGGTGGTATGGCTGAGCCTCAGAAGTTGCCCAAGTCAACCAAGTTCTCTATACTTCCACAAGAACAGGTTTGATATTTGTATTTTAGCACACCTGATTTGAAAGCTCAGTTGAGCATTTCTGATCATCTGTATGTAGGTCCTTCTTTCCATAAACTTCACATTTAATTCACCACTGGGCAAATTTAGTAAAAATTTAATAAAGCATCAAATTCAATTAAAGAGCCAAAGACTGAAAGGTGAGATGATCAAGGAAAGGCTTAGAATAAAGTGGAAAATCTTCCTCTAAGAAAGTCTTCTTTTAAGAAACAGTTGATGAGAAGAAAAAAAATGAAATAGGACCAAAAAATGCTGACTGACATATTTCTTACTAATTAAGGTCTTCTGTCTTCACGGAACACTTCAATCAAAGTAGGTCACCGTAACTTGCTTATGTTTTTTTATAGCTTTATTAAAATACATTTGGTCCTTACTGGTTAAGAATCATCATACTTTTTCAGTTGATACAACTTGGTTCTTACGATATTTAGAGTTAGAGGCTTCAAATAGAAGTGATAGATTGTACAATTTATCAGAAGAGCAATTCAAGGCCCTTGGGCTTAGGGATGGGTTTCGCCAAAAATTTTGTATTGTTATATATCACGATTTTTTCCCAAAACATCATCATAATATGATATTTTTACAGGCAATTTTTACAATGATTTTTAATGAATAATCCTTATTTTCTTTTAAATATGCTAGAAAAACAAAATTTCACCATTTGAATTTTTTTATGTACATAAAATTAATCATGTTTGGATGGTAAGATGCCATTCTTTTCACCTTTTACATCATTTTCATCATGACTTTCTGTGAGTGAAATTTGAAATATTGAACAAATAATGAATAATTCCTGGACTTTATAATATGTACCTAAATACCGGTATTTTGGTTTCCGTATCACAATACGTATCACACAGCAAAAAATCTCGATATACCAATAAAATTGCACATCCCTACTTAGGCCTCTTGTATTAAATAACATTTTTACTTTTATGGAAGAGGGCTGACAGCTGGTTTCTGAATTTGACTAAAACTGTCCAAACGGGACAAAATACCCCCCGCTGGGTTTTTCAGAAGTAAGTTTTTGCATAATAAAGATATGTATCAAACACGAATTATGAAATTTTTCTAACAGTGACCTTGAACTTCTCCAAGGTCATGACACAATCTTAGTGTGGAGTAGTAGATTCTAATGTCCCTCTGCAAGAAAGATATGGACCGGACACGATTGCACAGACATACGGACAGACAGACAGACAGACGGACGGACAGATGGACAAGGAGATTCCTATATACCCCCCCAAACTTCGTTTGCGGGGGGTATAATAAATTAAAAGTATACAGTACATATTTAAACACATGTATTTGTTTAATTTTATAGGTGCAGCACTTTGTTGACTTTATATCTCAACCACAGTATGTCCAAGATGTTGCATTTGGAGAGAGAACACTTAAACTGTCCACAGGACAAAAGATACATATACCTGACATTGTAAGAACAGTAATAGGTAGCAGAATAATTTCCTCTTACACAGCATACTGTGAAGAAACTAGCTTTCATCCATGCAAAAGGTCAACACTTTACGAATTACTAAGGAACTGTTCTGCAACTCAAAGGAAGAGTCTGTGTGGACTGGACAACACTACTGCTGATGGTATATGCTCACTGGAGAAGATGATTTCTATAGCAGAAGCAATGGAAAGCTATGGTGCATTGTCACATGTTTCACAGGTATAAATATTTATGTTTGTTAGCTTAATTTTGGCATTCCTTGTTAGCTAAGAGAAACGTAAGAGAGAATGGCTTAATCTTTCATACTTATCGTTATCCTCATCATTGGATACCCACAGGTGATCTCCTTTTTTACTTATCAATAAAAGAGGAGATCACCAGTAAGTATCCGACGATGCGTTATCCTTATGCAGACCTTTCAAATTTCCATCTTCCTTTCAAAATGAATTGTCCGATTGTACCATGTAATGTTAACCAGTCTTATACAATTATTTTTGGGTAAAGAGAATTTTGTACAATGATACCCTCTTCCAAGGGGAGATAATTAAGAAAGGACAAAACCGTGGATATGGGGGGTGATTTTAAGCTCTTCTGAGCCAAATTAAGGGCTCAAAGAGTTAATGCTATGTTCATTTTTGCAGTGTGCGTAATCTTACACACAGGGATTTACATGGGGATATGTATTTGAAAAAAAATTATCTAAAAAAAAATTTGAGAGCAGCAGGGTATTTATAAATCATATTTTTACTATTATTCAAGCATTCCTAACCAGTGAACAAACTGATCATATCCTAGCTGCCTATGGTCATTTTTATACTTCTCTTAATTAGTTTATAGATATATTTGTGTTCCTTTGTCCATCTTTCTATATACATTTAATCAATTATACATTTTGAAGGTACTCAGTATTACCGATACTCTTAGAAAGTGTAGGTCAAGTAGATAAATATTGCTTATCTTGATATTCATGCATAATAATAAAAAAAAATCAATGTAATTATTACTAAATTACAACATGAAGTATATTGATATAATTTTAAATTTTATTTTCTGTTGCAGGATATTGCAAAAAGATTAAGAGCCGGTAAGCAATACCTCACATGTGACTACAGATGGCATATTACGCAGGAAAATAGTGTACCAGACCACTGCATCCAGTATGCACTGAGTAACCCAGATAATCATGAATTTAGTTCTAAATGTGACCACAGCCATATGGAGAAGTGCTAGAACTGTGAGGATCTTGCTCAGGTTATGGATGATCTAGAGCAGTTGATCATTGATGGAAAGTATCCTTCAGCAGAAATCAAAACAGAATTTATGCACGACTTCATGAACTGTAGAGGAAAGGTAATACAATGGAAACAACACATACTTAGAACGGTCAACCAAAAGAATGCAAAGCATTATGTTCTCCAGAACCTGGATTCAACATCAGTTCTCATTGTGTTAGACTGGGCTATGAAGTTCTTACCATGGTATGACAGAGAGAGACAAACAGATTACTATGGTAAAAAAGGGATTAACTGGCACATTAGTGTGGTTTTGATGCGCTCAGATAATGACCAGTACTTTTCAGAATGTTATGCCCACCTTTTCAACAGTTTTCCTCAAGGCTGGTATACAGTGGCTTCTATTATCGAGCACCTTTTCTCTGAAATCAAGTCAAGACATCCAACCATCACATCTGCATATTTGCGCAGTGACAATGCGGGATGTTACCACTGTGGTCCACTAGTGGCATCAATTCCAGGGATATCCGAAAGAACAGGAATTAGAGTGTGTAGAATTGATTTCAGTGAGGCACAGAGCGGAAAAGATATCTGTGATAGAACAGCACCTTTAAAATTCCATGCCAAACATTATGGAAATGAGGGGCATAATATTGCAAATGCAGTGGAGCTAAAAGAGGCACTTGAGAGCTATGGGGGTGTTCAGAACACTAGAGTATATGTAGCAGAGGTTGATTTCTCTTACCAGAAGCTTCGAAAATGTTCAATTCCAGTGATCAACCATCTAACCAATTTCATGTTCCAGCCAGATGGTCTCACAGCTTGGCAAGCTTACAATGTAGGAGTTGGTAGGAAAATGACAAATTTTGAACTTAAGCAACTAAGCAATGGTGTGCAAGGAGAAACAGCGTTGAAGGTGGGTGCTCTAGAACAAATCTGTATAAATTTTTAAACTTTATCTTGGATTCAAACATTCTTGGATAAAATGTTTTTGGGACAATTTTTCATGCATTTTTCTCTCCATCTTTCACCCTTGAAAAAATTTATCAAGAAGCACCCTAATTTTTTCCTTTCAAGTGCTTCAGATGATACACAAGTATGACATGTTTCATAAATGATCATAATTATAAATTGGTTTATTTTCTAAGACAGATACATGTAGGTAGAAGTAGGTTTAAATACCTAAACACTAGTAGCTAATTACATGTATATCTATGTTAATGCAGGTAGAAAGTCTTTGGACTGGACTTCACTAAAAATTTATAAAATCTGCATCTTTTTTCAAAACTTTCATTATAGACTCTAGTAACATCCGGTTTTTATAATCACTTTATCATATCTACTACAGATTTTGGAAGATGCAAAGCTGCAAATGGGAAGTGTGAGAGGAAGACAATCAAAAGTAGTCAAAGTTAAAAAGGTTTGATTTAATTTTATTTCAAATTTTTTTTAAAATGCATAAAAGTAACTAGGTAAGTTTATTCAGTATACTTGTGATTAAATTTGCTGCTTTTCTTTGTGAATAGCCACGAATGACCATTGAAGAAAGCAGAGAAGACCATGAAATGGAAGTTGACAGATGTTCTGGTACCGTAGAGTCAGCAGGTAGAAATGAGGTACACACATAAATCATTGCATCTACCATACTCTGTGAACTCACAAATTTTTGTGGGGGTTTAATTTTCATTGTTTTTGAGTACGAAGAAACCCATGAATTCATGTCCACCATGAAATGTAAACTATTACAGAAATTACTACTCAACAATTCTTCATCCAGGAAATCAATTCCCCACAAACTAAGAAAGTTTCTCAAGCCATGAAAATTTGACCCCAAGAAAATATGTGACTTTAAAGTATGTAAACCATGAAAATATCATCTGTACATGTATTTGCAAAGATTTACAAATTGTTTTAATGAATATGATTATAATCTTTATATCCTTAATATCATAACAAATTACTATATCTTTTTTTTTAATTCATTTTAGGAATGTTCTACATATGTCTGTTGTGAATGTGGAGCCTCTTTCTCCTCACTAGCAGATTTCAACATGCACCATGATATTGGAGATCACAACATTACTTCAGAAGATAAAGTAAAGTTGTTATGGTCCCATAAATGTTCCTCAATTAAGGAGACACTCATCAGCATGACATCTGTTGGTGGTAGTGACACTGTGTCATCAAAAAGTGAAGGAAAAATGGGGTGGGCACTTAAGAAACAACGACAGTGCAGGAGATTCAGCCCAGCTGTAAAAGACTTTTTGTTTAATTTGTATACAGAGGGAGAGAGAACAGGGCAGAAGTACTCTCCAACCGATGCTTCCAAACTTATTCGTTGTGCCAGGGATCAGAATGGTGTAAGAACATTTCACACAGATGATTGGTTAAGCACACAACAAATTCAGGGATTGTTCTCTAGATTTACTCAGAAATCTCTTTTACTTAAAACAACAGAAGAGGTTGATATTGACCTGGAAGAAATTTTAAAAGATATAGCAGATCGAGAGAAACAGGAGAAAGAATCAGCCATGATTGACAGATTGTGCGAAACTGTGACAGACAATGTTTAGTTCTGGGGAAAGAGAAAGAATCAGCCATGATTGGCATATTGTGCGAAACTATGACAGACAATGTTTAGTTCTGGGGAAAGAGAAAGAATCAGCCATGATTGACAGATTGTGGGAAACTGTGACAGACAATGTTTAGTTCTGGGGAAAGAGAAAGAATCAGCCATGATTGACAGATTGTGCGAAAATGTGACAGACAATGTTTAGTTCTCAGGTGACTTAAAGATTACAGACAATGTAGAAGTTGATACTGACTTAGAAGATATAGCAGATGGAGAGAGACAGGAGAAAGAATCAGCCATGATTGACAGATTGTGCAAAACCGTGACAGACAATGTTTAGTTCTCAGGTGACTTAAAAATAACAGACAATGTAGAAGTTGATACTGACTTAGAAGATATAGCTGATGGAGAGAGACAGGAGAAAGAATCAGCCATGATTGACAGATTGTGCGAAACTGTGACAGACAATGTTTAGCTTTCCTGAAAGAAAGTATTAGCATCGCATGGCCACTTTGGCTTGTTGTAGCAGATTTATTTCTTTTTCTAAATTAAGTTGTTTAATTTCATAAATATTTTGACTTTATAATGTGGATCTGATTTAAATTATGGCTTCAACCTTCTGAATCTTCTGGAAGTCATGATTGACAAACCTGAATCTACACTACCTGAGAATGCTTCCTTCTAAATTAAGTCTTATAATTTTTCTGATTTTTAAAGATCCCATGCATATCCCTCTGTGAAATTTAATTGCATATTGCTTACCTATTGAAGCTTTCACCTAAGTTTGATGTTTAATAATGCCATAAAATGTTTAAATTCAATGTGGAACCCCTGTAGGAATCACAGCGTCTGTTCCTCTGTCTGTTAACACTTTTAAGTGAAAACTCGCTTTTCAACAAAATGTTTTCAATATATATTTTGTATCACACTAAAAGAACAAAACAATTATAGATTTTGTGATCTGTAATCTTTGTATCAAGGGTGGCATGATTTTCTTCCTTGCACTCGGAACTGTTTATGATTATGACAAGGTTATCATATGCTGCGACTATGCACTTCATTTCCAGATGCATTCCACAGCAGATCATCTATTATTTCCACATTTGCTGATGAGCCTTGACCTTAGTAATTCCATCAGCATCATGCAGTTCACAGTTTTCATTTTCCTAGTATGTCAAGAACTCTTGGATTAATTAGTAATAATCATGAGGCTTCTTTATCATAATATCTGATTAATATTAGAGGGATTTTTTTTTGGGGGGGGGGGGTTAGTATCATGGATTTTTTGGAATTTTAAAATTTTAAGGAACCTTATTAATTTGGAACTATTTCAACAACTGATAAATTTTATGATTTGTTGAATAAGATGAGATATATTGTATATTTATCGTATTTTACATGAAAAAAAACCATATGTGTTGTCAAATCAAATTCTAAATTTATGCAAATTACCCTAGAAAAGACTGCTTCCATGCTGAATTGAGCAGTAGTGCCCACCAATATTTTGTTTTTTAAACTTTAACATGTTTACAATATTTAGATACCATAATTTTTTCTGGCAATCATAAGTATTGGTTTCCATGGAAACATTTAAAGACCATATTTTCAGTGTAAAATTTACTTAACAAAATTGAGCCAACTTCCAGCTCTCATTATTATACTAAATTAAAATGATATCTTACTTTTTATGAAACTCATATTTGCTCTTGAAAGTGTTCAACATATATTATCATGTGTTTTTATCAGTTTTGTTATTTTATGGATTTTTTAGATAAATAAACTATGCTTAATTTTGCCTGTTTTCGTGACCTTTCTGCACTAAGAATGTGGTATATCACAGTACAGGGCTTAGGAATGATAGTGGAAACTTTTTATTTTACCAACATTGTTTTCATGTCAAAAGTAACTAATACAGCAAAAATGATGAATTTCTGAATCACACCATGTGCCACTTGTTGCCTGATATTTTGATGGACGACCTCTTAATACTTTTAGAAACTATTCAGCTACTGTTGGAATTTCTGCCTTAAGATTAGCCAAGAATGGGTTTTACTATACAGGACATGCACTAGAAACACGATGTCATTTTTGTCGCCAGACATATAGTGGATGGAGTGCAGAATCCAATATTGAGGCCGTGCATAGGCAAATATCACCTGAATGTCCTTTTGTTAATGGTAGAGAAATAAATAATATTCCTATTCATAATGAAAGAAATGACCCTTCTGTGGTTGAAAGTCGGGAACCTGCTGAACATATACGGAATAATAACCGTAGAAGTTTTACCACAGTATTATTGCCTCGAGACCAGACTACACATCCTTAAGTGCCATCCACAGCCTCTCGAGCACCTACTGATGGTTCGAGAGAAGACCAGACCTCGGAACTGATGCCTTGTGAGATATTGAAATTTTATAAATAAATTTCTTATTTTTCGGATTAAACTTCATAATTCCTTGAAGAAATAATGATTACCATGTTTCCTTAAACTTTCAGAGAAAAGATTGAAATGCAATAATTGCTTTACATTTTAACCTGATCTGTTGTAAACCAGAGAAGATAAAGGTTTTTTTATCTATATAGCTTTTGACCAAAGATCAAGTAAAGCTAAGCTGAAGAAAGATAATGATTTGAAGGAAACGGAAGAACAAGCCAAAGCAAAAGCAAGAACAAATCAGGGAGCTGGTGGCTTAGACGTCAAAGAAATGCTACGCATAAAAGAGAAGATCGTCCCCTCTATACAACATGACCCATCTGCTAAATCTAGTCTTTCCACAGAACCAACATCAACTTTAGAAGTAACAGTAGAGGAGATTCAGACCATTGTAAAGCATTTTACAGTAAAACTTTGTAAAGAAGCACGGGCTTCAAGTAAAAATATAGATCCAAGTGTTCCTCTGACATTTCGGCTGTCAAGACAAATAACTCAGACTTCCAGTGCTCAAAGCACTACAAACACCGGTAGATCATCTGCTAGTTCTGCAACCAGACAGGTTGGTGTTAATCCTCCTGAACCTTCTCGTGGTGGTGCCGATCCTTTAGCTCCCAACTCTGCCGAGAGACTGGCTCAGCTAAACTCACTTGGATTTAACTTTGAGAAGCCTAAGTACCCTGTCTATGCTGAGTATTCCACCAGAATAAGCTCCTTTGATGATGGATGGCCTTCACACATGGCTCAAACACCTAGAGAGATGGCTAGAGCTGGATATTTCTATGCAGGTTTGACTTTACGACAGTACATTACTATTTACACCAAAAAATAACGTTTTGATTAATCCAACCAAAGGACACATTTAAATATTTGAAATATGGATTACACTTTTGAATGATAAAATGTATATTTATTCACATGTTTCTGTAAAACAGTAAACGTAAATAAATGTTTCTTTGCAGGGAATAGGGACTATGTTCGGTGTTTTTTTTCTGTGGTGGAGGCTTGAGGAACTGGGACAGAACAGATGAACCGTGGATGGAGCATGCAAAGTGGTTCCCACGCTGTGCCTTCCTACGGAACAACAAGGGAGATAAATATGTTTCCATAGTACATAGAAGGCACCAGGAACAGGTTTCTATATTTCAATCAATGTTTTTTGATGCCATAGACATGTGTGGTTCAATGAAAACTGAGTAAACATCTTAAAAGAAGTCCTTGCATAGATAATTATGTTATTCTAATCCTGCATTGATAGTTACTAATTATCTTCTAAATCCTATTTGATTCAGGAGGCGAGTCTTCAACCATCTTCACAACTTCGACTTCCAGTTGGTATGTCTCATTTCAGTATTTGTTCTGCAACCCCATGTTTTAAAACGACCTCATGTAATGCCGGAATATTAAGTGCAAGCACTGAAATATATTATACACACATATTTTTTTTAAAAAATGTAATTAAAATGAGATATTCTGAATCCGGTAGAGCTTTTCAAAGATTTCCACAAGAACTATAACAACATCCCATAACATAACGCAACATACTTGCGACTTTTCAATTCTTGATGAACATCTTCTTGTCAAACTATGTTGCATCATACCAATTGGATTCACGCTTCTGTATACCATTCTTAAATTTATTCCATGGCTAAATTTAACATTATTAATGCTCATTATATGATTATCGTTTATCACTGAAATCAGAGAGAGATGTAGAGACTATCGTAGCCGAGGCGCTGAAGGAGATGAGATACACCAACCAGATTATACAGAGAGCCATGAATTATTGGAGGAGAAACCTTAAACCTGGTAAGATTATACAGTCCAGTCTTATTAACATAATCACTACTATAGTCATACCTTCCTAACTTAGACATCTATAAACCCAAGCAAATTAAAATAATGTAATAACTTTTAATAGGTACTGTATATACGAAATTTTAAATCGGTATTTTTGGAGATAAATGTCAATATCTAAGTCCGACTTATATATATGACTCAAAAAATATAAATGATTTCTGAATAACGAAATGTGGAATTTTAACTTGTCTGACTATTTTATGGATATATGAAAGCATTAATGTACCAATAGATTAAGCATAAAGTATTATTTCTATACTGAAAGGAAAAAGAAACGCAGGGTAAAATTTTGAGGTGAATTAAATTTATTTTTCTTTCAATTTCGTTCAGTATTAAATTCCTATCTAACTTTTAAAATCATCTTTCAAAAAGATATAACCAAAATCTCATTTCATCTTGTCCGACAATTCTAGAGTTATTGAAGCTCATATGACGATACCCCCAGAAATTGAAAATCGAAAACTCTCATTATCTTCAATGTCTCTCCTGCACATCTGTCATGAGCGTTATTTTTCCTTTGCATGGAATTCATCATAGTGAGTATCTTTTAAATCCTGGCTATATTAGGCATGGGTAACCACGCCAAAAAGTTAGTCATGCGACGCGCGCATGCGCGAGTGAGAATAACAACAGTAAATTGATCGGCTCAAAAAACCAAATATCGGAATTGTTTTCTTTCATTTTTCGTGTGAATGTAATAATTATGATAGTCTACTGTATAAAAGGCGGTTTTTGCGGTATAAGGGTTGCATTTAAGAGGTGGCAGGACGAATAACCCGCTCGTAACATGACTCTGTTTCGCGTTAACGTCATCGTCACGGTTGATCGAAAACCATTCCATTCCCTCTCTGACAACGAATAACAAGTTTTATAGGGCAAAATTTACAAAAAAATCTGCTTAGTTACCCGTCGTTGCCTTTTTCATTAATTAGGCAATTCGAAATTCAGACCCCATTGAACTTCCGTAAACTGTACCAAGATTGCAAGAAATTCAAAGCGTCTCTAATTATCATAAAACAATGTGTATACCTCAGGTGCATCAAATGAAGCATCAAAATTTGTTGACAATCTCGTCATCATAAAATTGCACGTGTTTTGGGCTTTTTAGCGTTTTCCCTACGTGACGTCATACATTTTACGGTTGAGTAATTCTGAACACTGATTTTGGTGCATAGTAACTAAATTTCTCATCTGACCAATTTTCGTAATTTTCGGTCATGCGGTCAATAAGTTTTCGAATATTATGCTACCCTGCGTTTCTTTTTTCCTCTCAGTATATATTAAATGTATATTACTTTTATTTATTTAATTAAAATGAAATCATTATTGTCATTTCTAAAAATAAATGGAAAACAGCTTACTAATCTTACTCATCATAGCATTTGATTGAATTGCAAATCCGTCCAAAATAATATTTAAAAAAAATAACTAAATTGTGGGTGGATCGACTTACATGCATAGGCGCGCGTATACAGTATATAACATATCTTGTTCCCAAATAATAAATGTCAGGAAGGTGAAGGGTCCATATTATTTTGTTTACTGATTACCAAAAACCCAAATAAACCATCTTCTTATATACGAATTAAAAATACAAGTTCCTGTGGTTGCTCAGTTTTTGTTTTTTTTTTTTTGGCAAGGCTTAAGGAGGATTGTACTGCTATTTTAATCCACTGCATTTTAAGGTTTGTCCGAGAAAAAAAAAAACTGAAAATAAAGTTATTGTACGAGAAAATCTTTTTAGTCAGTTGTTATTTGTGTCATCATAATTTAAAAAAAGGATAGAACTTGTGAACTGATTTTGTGTCCAATGCAATAATTATTTTGTGAAAAATGTGTAGGAAGAAGACACCCTCCACCCATGACAGCGTCTGCTATTCTAGACATCATAGAGATACTAGAGAGTGGGAGTCAAGAGAACGCAGAGAGACAGGGGGAGACCCCCTTAACAATACCAGGTATGAGAAGCACTTAACTTTATATGGCGACACTATTTAGTCCATGGACTTTAAGTGGAACATGTGTCAGTGATAAATATCTCTTTGGCTCTCCGTATACCGCTGAAAATCTCCGACATCAACATTTGTTTTTCACTTGTGATGTCATTATATGGATGGGGACATACTGTTCTTTGGGAATCTCGGTGAAAGCATGACCTCTTTAGGAGCATCAGCACTAGAAAGAAAGCCATTATTTATATTCAACAGTATCATTCTGTAATTATTCATTAATAAGTATAAAATGTATTTATTTAGTTTGTCACAGTGTGAGAGAAAAACAGAAATGGGACAAAATACGAAATTTCCTTCTTCACGTAGAATATTGCAAAACGTAATTCTTGGTTTGTTATGAATAAAAAAGAAAATAAACCATCCCGAAGGAGAATAGATTTTAGAATCTGTAAGCTTTGAAATCCTAACCACACAAGTATGATGTCACAGTCTATAATACGATGTTATGAGAAGTCAGAGACAAAGGGTCAAATGAACGAAATGTTATAACAGAGATTTTTTAGATTGTAAAGTTGGCTAGGAACATTACTTTACATATGAAAATTTTAACGAAATTCCCGTCCTACGTGTGACGTTAATTTCATCATAATATACAAAAAAGTAAAAAAATTTGTAAAATCTAGTCTTTGTGGATGTACTACAACAATACAACATTGTTGTCCCCCGCTAAAAAAGTTGGGGGATATTAATTTGGGTCTGTCTGTCCGTCCGTCTACTAGCTGTTCGTCCGTCTGTCCGTCATTCTGTCTGTCTGTAACGCTTTCGTTTCCACGCGATATTTCGAGAACCCTTTGACCTTATGCAATGTAATTTTGTATAACAACTCCCTATGTATTTACTAAAGAAGAAGCCTATTGATTTTGAGATCAAAAGGTCAAAGGAAAAGTTCATAAATTCTCAAATGCTGTCTTTTATAACATTTCGTTTCCGCGCGATATCTCGACAACCCTTTGAGCTTTTGCAATAAAATTTTACATAATAACTCCCTGTGGCCTAATGAAGACCCCTATTTATTTTGAGGTCAAAAGGTCAAGGTCGTTAATTTATACATTCTCTCTGTGTGTAACACTATCCTTTCCGGGCGATATTGTAAGAGGATTTTGAGCTTTTGCAAAGTAATTTTATACCAAAACTCCCTAGGACCTCTCTCACCCCTCTCAAAGTGTCCCGCCCCGTTTGTTTTATTAGTTTTTATTTTATTACATGTCGCTATTTTTAGCACAGGGGCAATGAGGAGAGTTATTACGTATAAAACAGGTTCTCGGCATACTTTATATTCTTATAAATGTGATGTGAAATGAAAAATTGTCTAGCTTGTACAAACTCATAAAATCATCATTACAGCATGATAAATATTCCATATAAAAGGAATTATATATACACATAATTAAGAGTAAGCAATCAAATCTTTATATCCATATTGACATATTTTATTTGCTTCAGTATACATGTATACATTTTATAATTCTACAAATTTAGTCAGGGGGATCCGAGCCTCCCCCCCCCCCTCCCCCGAACTGCGCATTTTTTACTTTTTCCCAAAGCGGGGAACACAAATTCTCTGAATTAGCTTGTATGATATTTTTTAAGTAAAACTGGAGACATTAACATATAATTATTAAAGAGAGCAGTTGAGAGCGTTCATCAATCAAAACAGATTTATAACTCTTCTCAAAACATCTTACTTACCATAACGATTCATTTCAACACACGCATGATGTACTACAATGTTGTTAACATAATTGTTAAAAATGGTTTTTTTAAATGCATGACAGTTATGTTACTAGCAACAACAACCATGCTTTGTCACACATAGATTTCTTTTGCACTTTGATCCATGCATTTGAAATAAAAATGTTTTGGATTTGTTGGTATCATCGAAACTAATGAATTCCCTAGCAATTGGACATTTTTTCCAAGACATTTTTATCTTTGAAGCTTAAATCTATATATGAAATCAATACTTTATCGATTATTTTTATTAACTGCTAAAATAAATACAGTGTATAAACATTTAACATGTAAGTGCTTAAAATAAACAAGGCATCAATAATATATTTAAGGATATTTCTGTGATATGCATTTTGAAAATATTCATGATTTCAATATTTTATTCTTAATGATCATATTTTAATGCCCCCGTAAACGAATTTTCGGGGGGTATATAGTTTTTGTCGTGTCCGTCCGTCTGTCTGTCTAGCTGTCTCTCTGTCTGTCTGTTCGTCCGCAAAAACTTAAACCTTGCCCATAACTTTTGATTTAATGGAGATATAACATTCATGTTTCACAGGTGTATTCCTTGTGACAAAACCTTTCTTTGTGTACCACCACATTTGACCTTTTGAACTTGACCTTGGAGTTTGTCCCACTTTTACATGAAAATTTTAAAGTTTTACTTTGGCCCTATTTTTTGAACTGTAGGTACCACATTTATACTTCAAATATTTATTATTTGTTGCAAGATCTTTTATTGGATACCAACAACCTTGACCTTGTAGATTTTTGTACCTGTGAAAAAACTTTATCCCTGACCATAAATTTTGAATGGTAAAAGATAGGACTTTGAAACTTAATATATGTAATCCTTATGAAAAGACCATTCATTGAATACCAAGTATTTTGACCCTGAACTTGACCTTTGAGTTTGACTTACTTTACAAAAGCAAACCCTGACCATTACAGTGTACTTTTAAAGGGTTAGGGCTAGTGCTTTCATATTTCACGTATTTAATCCTTGTGACAAGACCTTTCATTTGATAACAAGATGTGTTTGTGAAACACTGATGCCCCTGTATGGCAACATAGCAAAGATTAAACTTTCCTTAAATTTAAATTTTTAAAATCAATTAGTACCAAAAGTAGGCTATTCTCACTGGAAAACCATTGTGAAATTCTAGAGTTGGCCAATGTTTAATTTTTTCAATAAGTACAAAAATCTCCAAGGTCAAGCTCAAAAGTTTATGGTAATTGAATGAAAGGTTTTGCCACATGGAATACTTATGTAGAGTACGGAAACCCTAGCCCTAACTCCGTTCATAAGTTATGGCAAAAATTTTTAAAAGTAGGTCAAATTCCAAGGTCAAAGGATCAAAGTTCATGCTATCAAATGAAAGATATTGTCATAAGGAATAAATAAATATGTGAAGTATGAAAGCAATAGCCCTAACCCTTTAAAAGTTAAGGTCAAGGTTTGCTTTTTTTAAGTAGATCAAACTCAAAGATCAAGGTAAAAAGGTGAAAGTGCTTGGTGTCCAATAAACGGTCTTTTCACAAAAAATACATATATGAAGTATGAAGGCCCTATCCCTCACCGTTCAGACGTTATGGCCAAAGATAAAGTTTTTTCACAGGTACGGAAATCTACAAGGTCAAGATCAAGGGGTCAAGTTTGTTGGTATCCATTGAAAGGTCTTTCAACAAAAAATACATATGTGGAGTATAAATGTGTTGGTATCCACTGTTCAAAAGATATGGCCAAATTAAAAGTTTAAGATTTTAATGTAAAAGTGGGTTAAACTCCAAGGTCAAGGTCAAAAGGTCAAATTTGGTGGTACCCAAATAAAAGTCTTGTCACAAGGAATACACACGTGAAATATGAAAGTCTTGGCTCCACTAAATCAAAGTTATGAGCAAGGTTTGAGTTTTTGCGGGCAAACAAACAGAGAGACAGACAGACAGATTAACCTTTTTTCCATAGTAACCATAATCCAAAGCATTTATTTTTTATTATTCATGGATCATTGTGCATAAAGCAAAAATAGATATCTTTAAGTGGAAAGTCATGAAATTCTGAGAATCTAAGTGTATCACCAACATTGCTTTTAAATGATGGTATTTTTAGTAATGATTCCTAATAACTCATATTAATAATTAAGATATATGTTCTTATAACGCCTCAATCATCGTTTTAGATTTTATTCAGTTGACATATAGATGATCTTACGATAAAGGCTACAAATGAAAGGAACAAAACAAGACTGATTACACATCACTGACATTGACACTGAGTTTTGCAAGTTTAAAGTTGGATTTACAAAAAGAAATATTTCCTGATTTCATATAAAAAGAATGTACATTAAATTGAGTTAGCATTATTAACTTACTCTATTGTGGTTTTAAAGTCTCAAAACATGATAGAAAAACAGTGGTGCGGCCGAGGCGCCAATTGCGATCTTGAATGCACGAGAAACACTGAATGGTAGCACAGGTAGTATCTGGATATAAACGGTAGACTAAAACATTTCACAAGGACAAAAACGGAATAACACAAAACAGTCTACGAACATATATACATATAAGCCATGTAACGGCACAATTCTCATAAGAAACTCCTCTGATTGATGGAACTATTCTTTAATTTTTTTAGATAATTCAAACCAAAAAAATTTATTTGCCTTTAAAAATTGTAGATTCTTCACCCTGCCCAGTGCCGTCATACATTTATGCACTGATATTGATATGATATTTTTATTATCTCTTTCATACATTTATGCACTGATATTGATTTGATATTTTTATTATCTCTTTTCCCCTTTAACTATTTCTAGAAAACCCGACAAGTGCTAAACTGGATCAACCAAGAGAATATGGATATGATCAAAGAGAAAAACCATAGATTCATGTGTTACTTGCATATAGGCCTAAGTACCGGAATTCACTATTGCAATCTCAGAACCAAGGAAAAATCAGTATAAACCTGCTATAAACAATAGTTGTAGGGGGAGCACTTTAGAATATAACTGATATTATGAAGTATGGTCATATTTCTGTTTGTCTGACTGTCCTATAAATGTTTGTAGACAAGGCAGACCATGTCAATCATTTTCAGTCTTTTGCTGAGAATCGGTAAAGCAAATATCTAGATAATTTGTTGTAACATATATGTGTATAAAGATTAAGACGCTGGATTTTGTAATCACTAAAAAACTAAGGGTTTTGATATATCTATTAAATATTGTTATGGGTATCCATTATTGTGTAACATGATCTCAAATCATGCATGGAAGCAGAATTTGACAATCTGCTGTATTTATTGATGCATTGTTTTCCCCGTCTTCATGAAAGCAATGGGACATTAAATCACATTCGACTGCAAGTCTGTGCGTCGGTCAGTCTGTCACAAAAACTTAAAACATTCTCCTTAACTTTTGGTATAGAAAACATAGGGATTTCCAATTAAACAGATATATCACCAAAAAGTTCGGCTGCACCAGGATTTTTCTAAATGTATGATGACTTTTACCCCCTTTGTCCTTGACAATGAAGCTAAGCCACTTTTCGAAACATTCTCTTTTCTTATTAATATTAATTGAGATGAAATAGGGATATGTGCATTAACCATGAAAAGGCGTTTCCGATCATGGTGTGATTTTTACCCTTTGACTTTGACATTCATATTTCACTAAATTTTGCAAAATTGAACTTTGGTGATTACTTTTTTGAAATAGATATAAGGGCGTTCATATTTGACACGATATGCCATAAATAGAGGTATCCCATTTACTTAAAGCCCAAAAGCGGGGGACCACATTCTTATAATAGGCTTGTTTGTATTATTAACCCCTAGCTGTACACCTGCTAATGCTCGATCGGTCGGCAACGCTGATGCGATTGGCAACACCGATCAAAACATTGAAGGAGAAAGTGTCATAGTTGGTAAATAAAAAAAAATCGTATGTGCTGGAGTGTAACCAGCTATAAATAAAGCTATAAAACATTTTATTTAGATAATTATCAGTTAAGGATTCATCAAGAGTAAATTTGTTTTACAGTTTCTGTGCAAGTGCTACCGAACAATTCGACAATGTATTCCCATGCTTTGAAATAGTTTATTGTTGTTATTTTCAGGTCGTTGTTTTAAACGAATTCTTGAACTAGATATTTTGAGAAGTGAAATTACATGCATTATCTTCAAAACAAACTTTAAGTGGAAAATTGAACAATTGCGAGGCGATGACATATATCTTTTTATTTGCGAATAAGGAAATAGCAATCGTATAACACATGAAAAAAAAAAACAAATCTGAGAAATTCTTAATGAGTTTATTTCGATGAATAATGTATAACTTACATTAAAATTATTACGCATCAGTCATTGTTAAGGTCTTCCGTCTTAACGGAAGACCTTATAGTTATTGTACTGTTTCTTATTATTATTATTATTATTATTTTTCTGACACGATTTCTCGAAAACTACTGGGTAGAATTACCTGAAACTTTCAGGAAAGATGTGCTGTAAGATACTCTTGAAAGTTCCAAGACAGGTTTTGGAAATTCCTCTCTGGTGCCAGGTTTTGGACCATTTTCCTGATTTTAAAACGACATTTTGTCCACGATTAAACTCAAAAACGGTAAAAGATATCAATGTGAAACTTTCAGAGTTTATAGATGATGATCAATACTTTCCAGGACGTGACTTTTCGTTCGTCGTCAGTACTTCCTGTCGCTACCGGAAGCCAATTCAAAAAGTCCAATTTTTCAACTTTCTTTGTTTTTCAATACTTTTCATTTATTTTTGGAATATTAATAGAGACACTTCTATTGATACTTACTATATAAGTTGTTTTAATATTGGTTAGTCTGAACTCTAGATATTAATATTTGAAAATCTGAAGCGGGCCCAAGATGGCGGCTGTCTCTGTCAACTCCGCCATTTCGCGAGTAGGGGCTTATGGAGGCAGCTGAGCGTTTGATTAAACCATTCTGACATAAGGATACATGAAATGCAAAAAACTACTTGGACTCTCACGTAGTAGTATCTTGCAATTCAGTGTCAATCTTAAAAAACTTAATTTCCGTTTCACTGCTTTAGTGTTACATGTACTGGGTTAGATACGATATGTAATGTGTACAATGTGTTAAATATACTTTCCTAACGCCGAAATAAAATAAAGGTGATAAGAATGCTTTATTTAATTAATTTCATTGAAGCTATTGCACCTCTTTAATAGATCAGTACAAAGAAAAGGTGCGAATATTTACGCATGGCTTTTGACACGAAATTATGAATAGTGGCCCGCCTTTTATGATTCTCAGACAGGTGTACTGTTGCAAAAGTATACACAAGTATATTTAAAGCAGTATTCCCAATAGCTAAATGGTATGCGCGTTGGGGAGAAAAGAGAAAAAAAAAGGCGCATTCACGTTGGCGACCTGGATTCAATCCTCCTTGTGATCAAAATTTTGAATCACTTTTCAGCTCGATTTTACAAGTTTTTTTTCTCCTGAATCGGACGGAAGACCTCTCGTTGCTCGCAACGAGATCGTATCTAGTTATATATCTTTTTGTCCCCCGCTTTCACTAAAGCGAGGGGACATTAAATCTCATTCGTCTTTCTGTTTTACCGTATAGCTGTCAAGCTGTCCGTTTATCCGTCCGTCACGAAAACTTAAACCTTGCCCATAAGTTGATTTTGACTTTCATGGTGTTAAACATGTCTGGTTGCATCTCAAAAGTTAAAGAAAAATTTGCGAAAAAAGGACAAAAAATACTGCTTTATTTAACTCCATCTTCCTCCTGTAGTTTAGTTATCGATCGGTTTTGCCGATCGAATCAGCGTTGCCGATCGCGTGTTGACAGGGATGATTATAATTAAATCCGTTGTGTAAATGTTTATGAGTAAAATATTTCTTTAGTTTGCTTTTTAGGCTAAGGGAAGGGGTTGTTGGGTCTTCTTGTAAATGTTTATACATGTATTCTTATCATTTATATGTCATGTCTTTATTGCTACAGAGAAGCAGGTATTACAGGAGGACTTCCTAGGTCTGACAGAGACTATAGTGTGTAAGGTGTGCTGTGACAAGGATGTGGCCGCAGCCTTCCTGCCCTGCGGTCACTTGATCTGCTGTCTGGACTGTGCCCCTGCCATGAGGAGATGCCCCCTCTGTGCAGAACTCATCAAGGGCACAGTCAAAACCTACTTTGCTAATGACTCTTGGTAATTAGAAATAGCTTACAATCTGTATTTTTTTGGTATTTCATTTCAACTGTTTACTTCAAAGTTCATTGGAAATAAAACAAATACATGTAGACCATAATCAATATTTTTTGAATTTATTATGCTGTCTTGTTTCAGAAGTTCTCTTTCTGCCTATAATATATTGGGATATATTTTCCACATTATCTGAATACATTTAGGTATAAAATTACTTCTAAAACAAGACAGCATAAGAGCTTAAGATTCTTTTTGTAATTGATTTCGTGAATTTGGTTTTTTTTTAAGAAAATTAAAACATAAACAGTAACGTTGACCTCATTTGTGAATTTATTAATACAGAAAGAAGATCCATATAGATCATATGTATATACTCAAATTCATTGTTGGTCTGTTGACACAAATGTAGACCTTAAAGCACTTAAAATTAATAACGTATTTTTGTAGGTAAATGTTTATCTCATCATCATAGCAATCCTCCATAATCATCTTCCACTCCCCACGGTGAATAGGGGGCATTTGACAGCCATGCAACTTTAAGGATCTTGCTCCCATTAAAAAGAAAGAATTGTCATCAAGGGATGAATAAAACAGAAAACATTATTTTAAAAGAAATCTCTATGATATGAAATGAGTTTAATTTGTATTGAATGACATTACATTGCGATCTCTATGTATACTTAAAAGAATCTGGACATAACTATTAATTTTACCCGTATGGACAAATCATAAGATAACTTGCAAATTTACACTTTCTGATATAAGATGATTTAAATCTTTATAGATTACGTTTTGAAGAAAGTATTCTTATGCAAGAGACTACATTGCACACTCTTATTCGGTTGTAGCTTGATTTATAGCTATGTTGTACCAAAATCATTGTATAACGTTGAGATCTATAAGATTGGGTATGCAAACAAAATATTAAATGTTCACAAAATATCACAATCGTATACTGTGTAATGATATAGTTTATATCTATCTAACATTTAAGAATAGCTTAAGCATAAAAAAATTTTTCAATCCATGAAAATAACATCTTTTATTATGTTTGTTTTGTGCAAGTTAAGCTATATATTTTTTTTTATTAAAGGTTTCACTAAAATGTGTTGATAAAAGATTGTAAAAATAAAGATTAATTTTAAGGAATCATAGAAAATGTTTTTTTTTCGATTGTTTTGTAAATATACTTGCACAATTTACAACTTGATTTATTCTAAAAGAGTTAAAGGATTTCACGCCCTAATGTAATTCGTTTGCACGATTTTACTATCAAACTGTAAAGGAAGTTAATCAAACATATTCAAAAACCAATGAAATGATTTACATGTGCATGTTTATATTTGATTTAAGATATGTGTATGCCCTGTTGTCTTAAATAAAAATTGAAGCAACAATGTATAAATTAGTGTCGTCCTTCGCAATTTGATATTTGGTTTAGTGAATTTATGTCAATTTTTTTTATAGGAAGTAGTCTTCTACTCAGAATCATCTGATTGTTCCTGTTTCTTTTCTTCTCTCTTTAGATATTTGAGTGTACGTACATGTATGTATGACATCAGTTTACATCACCTTAAAATCAAGATCCATGAAACTTTTTGTTAGCTTAACAAAGTGAAAACATATAAATCGAATATTTCTTTTGCTGAAGTCTGCATATTGAACACAAATAAAACGCAATAAAACGCAATTGCGATCCAGATCAGATCAGCCAAGATCGATCCAAAATTGCAACAGTCATAACAATGGAAACAAAAAACTTTTTTTTTTATTAAGAAGGAACGAATGTTTCACGGCTTATCTCTTTTGAACATGAAATTGCTTTGTTCCATACACAACTACTATTTTCGTAAGAACAACCGAAAAACAAACACTATCTTTAAATGATCTAACAGCAAATTTATTTTACCAAATAGTTACAAAACAGGCTCTTTACAACAGAAACATTGAAAGACATACATTAAGGACACTTAGGTCTAAACAAGTGCCGCATGCTGGCCAAGAATTTTAACCGATATTGAGCGTACCGTTAAGTATTGCGAATTCTGTCTTGCTTATCAACCAAAACAGAACCGAGAACCGTTGAAGACTACATTTCTTCCAGATCGTCCGTGGCAAAATATAGCAGGTTGAAATCTTTGTTGCGCTTATGGCGTACACTTCAACACACATCTCAACAACAGGAGTCAGTCCAGCTGAACTCATCATGGGACGTACGTAGGATCTGAACTGCTGTTCTAGTTAAACCATCCTCACTGTAACCAAACTGGCCAGACGTGGACCAAGTAAGGAGTCAGGACGTAAGAACGAAGGAAACTTCGAAATTTCATCATGACAACCGATATAGGGTTAGGAAACTCCACCCACTTGCATACTATTGACATCATTTTGAATAAAAGAAATATTTAGTTCTATAACACCTATAAGTTTATCTTTTTAAATTTGGATTTCATCACTGCCAAAACTTTTACTCCAATCGACCCTCAAGTTATAAAGATGTCATGCTTGCTAAAAATGGTTTCAAATCATCTGTCATTAAAAATTTTCTTCTTTTTCATTTGTTTATTTCTATCTTGAAACGCTTCCTAGTTTAACTTTCATTATTATGTAAGAACGTAAATCTCATGATCAAGAATTTTAAAGGAGAGGCAAATAACACTTTCACATCCTGAATGTTATAATATAACAATTAATTTTGTACCATTCGTTGAAATGTTACTACGATTAAACATATCCACATATTTACGGAAGTCCTGGTATTTTTTTTCAATATTATACTGCAATGCCGTCAGGAAAACATATAATTTCTATAGACACAACAAAATTCATTGGAGGATCTTCATAGCACTGTATAACCTTTTATCATTAACTTAAAGGCGTTTTACGTGTAGTTAAACGACCATGTGTTATTTAAAACTTTGTGAATTTTAGGGTTTTTTATCTTCGCATTTACTGGTGTTGAAGAAAGAAGCAAAAGCGTTCCAAATATGCTGACAGTATGTAAGTATTACATGTATGTATCATCACAAGTGAAGTTTTGTGTAATCTATGTGTATAGGGAACAGTAAATATTAATGCATTTTTCGTTTCAAAAGAGGGTCGGAAAGATTTATTAGTAACATTATTATCTTGCAACGGAGTAGGGGGGGATATAGTAACGCAGTTGTGTTAGTTAATTCTGTGCTAAAAGTTTACAGAAAAATAAGATTACAAATGACATTTTTGTAAATGCTTTAATTTATATTTGTTACTCTGTTATTTTTGTTATACTAACGATCCTGTCCCAGGATTGTTAAAAATTGTAATTGGATTTGCATAATGATTAATAAATTCAAAACTATTATAAAAATTCTGTAAGAAACGGAAGCGATATAAGATCGATGCCGAATGCTACATTGAATTCTAGATTTTTGCTCTAGAGGGGATGCCCAGCCTTCAGATGTCCCTGTTACACATGTAACATGTTAATATAACAGGTTCTTTTTTTTTAAAGATTTGAAATAAGGAAAGGTTAGCAAGCGTCAGAAACAGAATCATAGAAGAGACAGTTGATCACAAAATTCTAAAGAAGTCCTCATACAGCTATTCAAGCTATTTCTGTCTTTCTACTGTATATATATAATTTTCCCGTAAATCAATGTTTTATTTTAAACATGACATTTTCCCAGGCAGATTTCTATAAAGTAGATATAAAGCAAAAAAAAAAAAAAATTCTAAATTAATGGACAATTATGTAATTAATCATCAATATTAAAAAGTCAATGTTTTGGCAAGAAATATTTCACTGTTGAACAGTGATCCCAATCCTAATCAGTTAAAATCATGTTAATCTTCATGTTAAATCTAAAATGCAGTTTCCCCCATTGTACCAACGTTTCACTATTTCATTTACTAAGTATCTCTTATAATTCATGATTGTGACTGACCTGTGTCACAACACACTTATAAAAATAAGCATTTGCAATTTTTTTTAAGTGCGTTAAATTTGATTAAAAAACGCACTTTGAAAAAAAAAAATACAACGTGCCTTAAGAGTAAACATCGACGGTTTTTTTTACCACGGGGATACTTAAAGATTTTTGAAAAAAAATATGTATAAACACAAATACTGAGCTTAGATTCTTTATATTTCATAATATGTTTTGAAAAAAATATGCGTTATTTTGTTCAGATATATTTAATGAAACATAGTGGTCGTAGTTTTAAATTATTATTTACTATAAGACATCGAAGCATTTGATATCTAGCAATCCAAACGGCTTATACCGTACAAGTGAAAATTTTAGCAAGAGGTAAATTTTGCGATCTTGGCACCCACCCTTACAATGCCAAAATTAAATCCTCGCTAAATATTCTGTATACAATATACGGTATCAAATATGCCTGTATCAGCGAAAAAGTTCTACTTTTTGTTGCAAAAACATTGACTAAGCTGTACAGTGTGCAGCGTATATTTAAGGAATATTTATGAAGCATGGTGGTTATACTTTTGAATAACTATTTACTAAGCAACATCGCAACATTTAACATTTGATAATAACATATACAGCAATTCAAACATCTTGATAAAGGTAAAGGCCTGTATCAGCGAAAAAAAAAACCTTGTTATTTGCAAAACATTTTAAAGTGCGTACTTTTTCAAAGTGGATTGTAAAAGAGGCTGTCCTTTTTATTCTGTTACAAAATAGCATTGTTTTTCATAACAAAAATATATTTTAAGTTAACATTTAAATGTCCAGATAGATTAAGGTATGTTAGAACCTTTTTATACCCCGCCATTCTGTCATCATTGACTTTCCGTTCATTATCTCGGAAACGGTTGCACACATTTAATTAATCAATCATTGCCGTAGGAAGCAAAAAGGGGCTAGGTGAAGGAAATTTTTTTAACACTCACAAAAATACCTGACTAACAAAGCAAAAGAATGCCCGATCACAAAAATTCGGGGGGGGGGTAAACTTTCATTATTATTTTTCACCAAACTCAACTTATTTTCAACATTTTATTTTACTTATTCTGCAATATGTCTGTGAAAAGAGGGGGGGGGGTAAACTTACGCCGCAATCTTCAATGCCTATACTAAGTACATCTTTGTTTTAAAAAAGTGGGGGCTAAACTCCCACCTCCCCCCTTCCCGGTTAAGACTATTAGTTATAGTTTTACATATTAATATATGCATCATAGGAATACTAAATCAAATTGGAAATTGGTCAGGGACAGAATATTTTTGACAGAGGTATCACTCTTGAACTTAAACAATAGGGAAATGCAGTGTCTTACTTTTGTGGGGATGTTTGTATAAAATTGAAATTGCATCACATGCTAATTGTAGCAAAATACCTGTTTCACTGCATAAATGAAGGAAGTTTATGATGGAAAAAGCTGAGGTCATCCATTTTGTCAGAAACTTTATTTGTTGTTGCCTTCAACTTGACATTTAAATATATCCATCACTTATTGTCAATTAACAATGGTATTTTCATTTCCTACGCCGATACGATATATCCTGGGGAGCTTGAGATAAAAGATACCACAGAGTCTGAAATATCTATTTCATACTTGCATATTTTACTTTAAAAAATGTTATTGGTAATCTAACAACCAAGCTACCGGGGTATATGATAAACGTGATGACTAACTTTTCAACTTCCCTCACTTTTGCAACAATATACCTTCATCACCTGCATACGGGGCATATATATCTAATTTGATTCGATACGCAAGAGCATGCTCTACTTATGAACAATTTCTAAAACGATATAAATTATTGACAAGCAAGTTGATGCAACAAGAATATCAGCACTCTCGTTTAAAGTAATAATTTCATAAGTTCTATGATCTATATCTTGTCAGCAAATACAGTTTATCATTGAGTCAAAACCTGACTGACGTTTATCATACTTATTGTTAGTCCATTATTTATACACTGATTGACGATGGATATGTCCG